ATAAGCTCGACACCTTAGCCCTTAGGCTTTGGGAGCGACTTGCGGTTCACTCTCCTTATCCTTGATTTAGCCCATGCCGAAGAGGTGACTGGGTCTCATGAGGTGCCAAGGTCTTTTGTCAGCTCGACACCATAGCCCTTAGGCTCTAGGAGTGACTCATAGTCCACTCTCCATTGTATTATTTAGTCAACATGTGGCCTAACCAGTTCGCTTAAGCGGGTGGTCATTCTGTTGTACACTTAGATGTGACTACTTCTACATCGTCACTTGAGATTGGCCTCCTCAGGAAGGTGCTTGCAAGATCATGGTGTACTGCTCCTGGAACCGCTGACTGTCTGCTTCAATTGGAGTCATGGGAGGCTTACCCTGAGGGGGCAGCTCTGCTGTCTGCGGGTCACCTATTCTTATGGGAACCATAAGGGCCTCGACCTATGAGGGCGGTTCCACTTTCAGCCAAGGTTCAAAGTATCGATACGATATGAGTTTTGGTCGTATCGTATTGGTAATTAGAAACAGCAGATACATATTTTTTTTTTGTTTTTTTTTTCTAAGTTTAGTTTTTTGGGAAGCTTATAAGATACTTTTTATTATTAAAAAAAAGTGGGGGTCCGAAACACATGGAAACAGGCATTTCGAACTGTATCTTTTTCAAAAGATACGATACGATATGCCCCATATCGAGCATATCGTATCGATACTTGAACCATACTTTCAGCTCGCTTCCAACTCTCAGGGGGCCATAAAAGCTTAATCTATAGTGAGGCTCCGCAGTTCGGGCTGGAGATAGTCAGGGTAAGATCGCTGAGGTTCGCTCAGGCTGGTTATTTGTTTCTGTTCCATTTGTAGGTTTTGTCATTACTTTCAATGTCAGATGATAAGTTGATGCCATGGTTGCACCGCATCATCCCTCGGAGACGCTGGTTGTCAACTCCTACAAGAATCCACAGGGAGCTTGACTTGCGGGAGTAGCTCGACTAGCTCTAGGTTGCCAACTTGCGTGGGAGCCTTGAAAGGCTCGACCTGCAAGGGCGTCCACATAGTCCGTAGGTCGTTAACTCCTGCGGGAGCCACGAAGAGTTCAACCTATAGGGGAGACCTTACGAAGAAGGATAACGAGGCTCGTCCGGGCTGAAATGAGGTTGGCAAAGCTGCTTAATTGGTTGGCCATAAACTCCTGCGGGAACCGTGAATGGCTCAACCTATAGGAGCGGCCTTACTCCAAGGTGCTTGTCACCAGGCTATTGGTTATTAAGGTCATTCTGCTGCTGATTGCTCGAATGCACCTAGTTTCTTAATTATCATGATGGAGGAGCGTTCTCATGTTCTTGCCTCCCCAGTAATTGATTCTTTGTTCTCGATATTGGTGCTACTTAAAAATGCCTTTGAGTTAGTAAAAAGTGAAAATTAGGGAGTGAGAACTTAAATTTTTAAAATGTGAGATCTTAGCTTTATGGAAGAAGAGGACTTAACCTTTTAGAAGGTGAGAAACTTCTTATAGCATTTCCCATAGACAACGCCAATTGATGAAGGGTGTTTTGACAACACCTTGTTGTTCTTATTACTTTCTAGTGTTTGATGACTCAAAGGTTGAGTTGGAGTATTTCTACTAAATAAAGGTTTGGATGCCGAACTGATTGGATTGGATTAGGAGGCTGCTCGGGTGCCGAGCTGGGTAGCTCTTCGAAGAGACCTGTAAGGTAACAGTGTTAGAGGACCCGGGGTGGCTAACCCGGCAAAGTTGCTCCGATGCTTAAGTTAGTACTCTTATAGTAGATTGCAAGCTAAAAATCAGAAAGTATGAGAACTAGAATGTACTTAATTGCATGTACCCTCTCGTGTCATTGGGGTTGGTGCCTTTATATATATGCTTTGTTTGGCGTGAGCTTCACACACTGCATCCGAGATTTTCGGGAGGTCGCGTAACCGATCCAAGATCCCTAGAGGTAACCGCCACGCACGTTGACCATCCTCCAGAACACTCGGTACATGGGCCAACTTCCGAGAAACATGGGAGTGTTGGGATATGCATACCAAATTTGTCGGCGAGCACCTCGCAAGTTGCCTCCTGGACTTCAGTCAGGTCGGCAAGCCCTCGAGGGAGGTCGCTCCTCATGTCAAGGTCACATATGCCAGTGACAAGGTGCTAAAAGTTGGCCCTAGACGAGATGCTCCTAGCTGGCCTAAGTTGTGGTCGAAGTCGCTAAGTTGGAGTGAAAACGAACTGTGATCTGGAACTCTAAATCATCGCTTAGGTGGTGCGCATATATCATCCAGCTGTTCCAAGATGCCATGTGTCAAGATGTGACTGGAGGGCCAAATCCACCATCGTCAAAGATATTCTCAATGCAAGGCTGTAAAGGTTGTTTGAACAGAATTTGCCTGACTGAAGCCGAACTCAATTTTTGAAAGGATAGGACTTAGAAGTTTCTTTTTGAGAGTGAAAAAGAATTGGGTGGAATAGGGAAAAGACATGTAATGGGATTAAGTCAGTTTGGCATTACTGCTTTTAGGAAAAAGTACTTTAAAGGGCATTTCTAAAGAAGACTAATGAAGTAACTTCTGCTTTATTTAAAGTAGGAAGTTATACTTTTACTGTTAGTATGTTATATGTGGAACGAAAGAAAGAAGTCCCTACCAAACAAGAATCCTCGATCTAAATATCCAACGCCATTTGATTTGATAAAGCTGAGGTGGCTGAACAATGGTCATGAGATATAAATCAACCCAACAATCTATTAGCCATCCCACAACCTACCTGACGACTTGTTCACTAAAAAATAAAATAATATAAGCCACGATTCAGCTTGGGTTGGCCACTTGAGGCGCTATCAAGGGGTTCACAAGTTGGGTTTGTTGTTTGGCTTAATCACACTGATGAATATGGGTGTTCAGTGATTTACCTTTCCAGTTTGCAGCTTCGTCACCAGCTCGTTTGAATGGTGTGGATAGGCTTTTTTGGCTACGTGATTCATTTCTCTTTCCACTATGCGCTGATGCTGAAAGCTCAGGTTTCCTATCTTAATTTGTTGATTTGAACTATTCCCTTTCACCTCACCATGCAAAAAGCTATTACCAAAAATACAACCTTTGTCATACACCAATCAAGTGCTTAAAGTTAGAAGTTGTGGCATATTTCACAAGAGTAATGGATTTGTTTCACAGAGGATAGAGCCTTTCGTTTTGTTACATAATTCAAAATCTAGTGGGGTATTATTGGGTTGCACCCTAACTACGAAAGTGTTCATTATAAACACTTTTAGTCCTTTGAAGTACTAAAAATATCAGAAGAACGAGTTTTAAGGGGTATTCTATAGTGTGGATGAGAAATTGGTGAGTGTGGATTGATCCACACTACATCCTATGTCAGGGATTAATCCACACTACACCATAATCCACAACTGCTCTGAATTGTGGACAAATTGTGTGGATTGGACTAGTCCACATCCACAGTGGCATTTTGTGAATGTAGTGTAGTCCACACTACACTTTTTTTTTTATTCCATGTATCTCATATACATTTATGAATGATGTAGACTAACATTTTAAAAAATAACTCGGAAACGGAACGTTCTGGCCACCAGTTTTTGGGTCGACGGTTTGATTGTTCGGTTTGAACGGATGGCTCGTTTTGACATACAAATTAAAAATAATTAAAAATAAAAATGGTAAAAAACCGTTGAACGGGTCTATGAGTTGACGATTTGATCGCTCGGGTCAACGGGTTGTTGACTTTTGGTTTGGGGTAAAACGGAACCACTTGTCTGGATGGTTCCCGAGCCGAACGGTCCAACCGTATCTGTTAATGGCAGTTCAAAAACCTTGATCTATATAGTTAATCATAATTATCTAATTTTTGCATTTTATATGATAAATATATTGAAAAATGCATCAATGAATTAATATTAACTAATAAATATTATTTTTTATAAAAATAATAGTAAAATAATTAAAATTTTAAAAAATTATATTTTAAATATTATTTTATTAATAAAATATTAAAATTTAAAAAAATTAAAAAATTAAGTAAATTAATTAATATTTTATTAACAAAAATATTAAAATGTGAAACAAGCAATAGGGTTTCAGCCTTTGAGGAAAAGTGTGAAGTAGGGGATCAAAAATCAAATATGAATGGTCTCTAACCATGAGATTTTGTCATGAATGAGAAATTGGGGTGTGGACTGAACCGCTCCATGATATAGCGTGGACCGGTCCCATCCACAACGTGCAGAACGAGTGTTCATCCCATGATCCACGAGATAAACAAGGTGCCGAACACCGCCTTAGTCTTGAGTTTATTATGGATTTAATCTCCTGCTAGACAAACCCAACTGACTAATGGGCATAATAATCAATGCTGACCTTGAATCTACCCTACCCATACTGAGTACTGAGTAGTAATCCCTCTAAAGGCTCGATTTAGGAAGAGTGCAAATACAAATGAAGCCTATGAGATATGCATATTCGCATTGGTAGTCTTAGGTCTTAACAAATAGAGCCTAATGAACAGCCTTTCTTATAGATGAAAGAAAGTTGTTGAAGACCTAATAGTTGAGATATCAATTGGTGTTACTCTAAAAATTGAGGTGTAAAATGGTCAAATCAAACTGTGGAATTACAGACCAATGTTTTCGAATCACCGTTGATTTAGACGTTCGGACCATTTAGTGTGAGAACTGTTCACATAAAAAATTTTATTTTATTTCAAATTTGGTTCCTAATAAAAAACCGTTGAATTAGTTAATGATCTGTTGATTTGGATAATTGAACCGTTAATCTATTTGAATTATTTAATGGTTTTGGCCATTTTTTTATTTTAATTAATTTTTTAATTTTTATCAAAATGGAGCATCTGTTCAAATCAGATGGTCCAACTGTTGACTCAGAAACTGGTGGGCAGAACAATTTCGGTTCCGAGTCGTTTTTTAAAACATTATTACAGACTCTCTATGATATACAAAGGTGTTTTTGTTTTTGGGTTGGAGAGGGGGAGGGGGACCAACGGTCCCAAGAACAAATTAGGCTATTTTCTGCCAACCTTGATGGGTGCTGGGTTATCTCGTTTTAAGCTATCCTTGATCATTTCTATGCAAGGTGCTAATTTGTTAGCTTCTACTGTCAGCGTTTCTTTCCATTTTGTTAGTGTCGTCGTTTCCCTGTTCAGAAAACTCCAGAGAACTGCACGAGATAGTTCACCGGAACGGGGAATTGAATAAGGTTTGTTTGAATTACTGAATTCAAGATCTATACAAGTCATCAAAAGAATGGAAACAGAATTGAAGTGCGTCTGGGTTCCGGGGCCTGTGATAGTGGGTGCTGGGCCTTCGGGGCTTGCCACTGCTGCTTGCCTCAAAGAGAAAGGAGTTCCCTCACTGATACTCGAGAGAGAGAACTGTTTAGCCTCCTTGTGGAAACTGAAAGCTTACGATCGACTAAGACTTCATCTCCCTAGACAATTCTGCGAGCTCCCAAATATGGCCTTCCCACCAGAGTTTCCCATCTACCCAACAAAGCTACAGTTCCTGAGCTACATAGAAGCTTACGCTAAGCACTTCTCAATTGAGCCCATGTTCGGCAAAGAGGTTCGACATGCTGATTATGATTCAACCTTGGGTTTCTGGAGAGTGCGAACGAATGAGTCTGAGTTTGTCTGCCGGTGGTTAGTTGTAGCCACAGGGGAGAATGCAGAAGCTGTGATGCCGGAGATTGCTGGGATGTCAGATTTCCGGGGTAGGCTCCTGCATACTAGTATGTATGGACATGGAGCTGGTTATAACGGAAAGAAGGTTTTAGTCGTGGGATGTGGAAACTCCGGCATGGAGATTAGCTTGGATTTATGTAACAATTGCGCTCAGACTTCATTAGTAGTAAGAGACAAGGTAATATGGTTATTTTGGTTCCTATTCTTGTTTTGTAGTTAATTGACTCCTGCTTCCCTTTTCTTTTATTTGCTTAACAACCTCTTTTCTACTGTTGCTCTGCTATCAGTTAAAGCTTTTGTTATCTACTGATAGTCTGATATTACTTTCTCTCTCTATCTCTACATCTGCCCCTTTGCAAATATTCTGATCGATGTCTTGTTTTCTTTTCTTTTTCTTTCTACATCATACACATAAATGATATCAGTAAAGTAATACCAAAGAAAGAGATATATGGGATGTAGTAGTAGAAGTTTTTTTTTCCTGGTGTAAGTTTCTTTTTCAGTTTATAGTTACTGATTTGCGTTTTATATTTTTTGCAGTTACATGTTTTGCCCAGGGAAATGCTTGGGCTGTCGACCTTTGGTCTTTCAATGTGGTTACTCAAGTGGTTTCCCACAAAACTGGTCGATTGGTTTCTTCTCTTCTCTTCATGGTTTATCCTTGGAGATATCCAGAAATTTGGGCTTACAAGACCCAAAATTGGGCCCCTAGAGCTGAAGAAAACTACTGGAAAGACTCCAGTTTTAGATGTCGGTACCCTAGCCAAAATCAAGACCGGAAAAATCAAGGTCTCTATTAGCTTTCTTCTACTTGAAACTTTCTTGAATTTTGGTGCTGGTGCAAATCATTACTGAATATAGACGGGAAAAAAAAAAAGCTTCTCACTAACTCGGTTTTGTGCTCTGAAAATGGAGTTGCATGAAAACATGCTTTCGACTGAAGCAAATCAAAATTTAAGCCTATATTATCAAGTACTAGATGTAGTTCATTGTTGACTGTACGAAAAGAAAACCAAGGTAATGTTCAGAGGGACACCATGACCAATTTTTGGCATCTAGTAGAGCTTAAGTTCCTATATAGAAATGAAGAGAGAGATCAAGAAGAACAATTAATACATAATATTTTTTTATGGTTGAAAGGTTGTCTAAAGCTTTTGGTTATCCAACAACAGAGTTCGAACTTTTTATGTTGTGTAAACATTTACATCATTTATGTCTAAATCTTTTTGGTGTTTTCAGGTAGTTCCTGGTATCCAGAGATTCACCAGGGAAGGTGTAGAGTTTGTTGATGGAAGAGTTTTGGAATTCGATTCAGTGATTCTAGCAACTGGGTACAGAAGCAATGTACCTTCATGGCTCAAGGTAAATCTGAAGGCTTGTCTAAATGAGAAAAAGGATGCAAATATAGAATCCTTTATAGTTAAACGATGACAAGGAAGAGCTATCAGGGTTCATTATACTTGATCCTATAACTCGGAGATATATATATATATATATATTATTTAATAAAAAAATTCCTGAGAATACCTATAAATAGATATATCAACATTTAAAGATATAATACGATACACCCCGTATCAGATGTATCATGAGTGCTGCCAAGAGTTTAAGCATTTAGCATTCACATAAAACTTNATATATATATATATATATATATATATATATATATATATATATATATATATAGCTAAAAAATGGAAAAGGAACAAGGTCATCAACAGGCTAATAGAGCTTGTGCTATTTGAATTCTCTTTTGTCTCTCCAATTCAAATGTCAGAAGTAGTCACCATTACACAGAAGAATTTGATCATTTCAATCATGAACGCTAAACAGAAAAGTTAGGAACATTTGAACAGAGAAAACACTAGAACAATCAATAATCTCATTCCTAACCCTTTCCTTTCTTTTCTTTTCTTTTTTAATAAGGAGGGAGAATTCTTTAACAAGCAAGATGGGTATCCAAAAACGCCATTCCCAGGCAGTTGGAAAGGTAGCAATGGACTCTACAGTGTCGGCTTCACCAAGCGAGGCCTGTTAGGAGTTTCTGCAGATGCTCGGAGAGTTGCCGAAGACATATCACGACAATGGAATTCAGAAACAAAGCATTTGTGCTTTGAATTGTAAACCGAACAACTTACACCAGAAAAAAAAATGTAATATATCAATACAGAACTAGTGCATCTTATGTGGTTTCCATATCCATAATTGTTCATATTAATCATGCCAATTAATCTCAAGTTTGGAGTTATTAAATCATTTGTTATAGACAATATCAATTTCAATTAAAAGTAGGAATGTTAATCCTACTCTCTCGAGTAGAATTAGAGATCTATACCCTTGAAAATATCAATTTCAATTGAAAATGAGTCTCTGTGTGATGTAATTATAAATCACCCCTTTTCGAAAAGACACACCCTTATATGTAAAAGCACTAGTGATGATCGGATTATCTCTATTGCCATTCACATCGAATATCACCTTGACTAAATATCATGTTCAAGAACTTAGAGAGAGAGAGAGAGAAATGAACTTAGACATAAAAACATGGTAAGCTTCACGAAATGCACGTTATTATTGTGAATTATCAAAATGGAGGGTGATCTTGTGGCCAAGCCAACTATTTCCAAAGGTAGAGCAGTACCACCTCTTACGAATTTTCAGCGAGGACTGATTGCCATTTCTCTTCTTTAGTTCTTTTCTAGCCTGTTAAGCCAATTAACTAACAACAAATAACCAAAATTATTCTTTTCCTATCAGCCTTGATCACGCTTTTACCCTTCTTTCTTATCTCAGGATCTATGAAATCGATGTTCCATATCAGACTCTCCAGCTGCAACAGTTTTTGTTACGGAAAACCCAAGAAAAACAGATTGGAATAGCACTCAAAATTGAAAGAAAAAGACATAAAGAGAAGCAAAGAACACAAATTTACGTGGTTCGGCTTAAAAGATAATATAAGAGAGAAGATGATGGACAACTTTATTAAAGTGATTGAATTACATATATAGGTACAAGTGATTGAATTTTATCAGAACACTTCAATGTTGAGTAGATGAGGATAAGCAAGAGTTGGATGTTATCATGCATTGGATAGATACATAAGCTGGATGTTACATTATCTAATATCCCCCCTCAAGTGATACATGGATTGACCACGTTTAACTTGGAGCGTAATACTGCAAAGCGAGGATGACTCAATGCCTTAGTAAGGCCATCTGCTAGTTGATCAACAGAGGCAACAAACTGAACTCTAAGATGTCATTTGTTGACATAGTCCCGCACAAAGTGAATGTCAATTTCGATGTGCTTCGAGCGAGAATGGAGCACTGGATTGGCAGCAAGGAAGGTGGCAGAGGCAGCAACTGCAAGAGACCTATATTCGGATTTCGTGCTTGAGCGGGCAATTGTTTGTTGCTTCTTCGAGCACCAAGACACCAGATTGTTCCCAAGAAAAACACAAAAACCGCTTTGGGATTTTCGATCATCGGGGTTTCCTGCCCAGTCAGCATAAAAAAAAGTGGAGAGTAGATCAGTAGAAGAAGGAGTGAGACATAGGCCATAATGCATAGTACCCTTAAGATAGCGCAATATACGCTTGACAACAGCCCAATGGAGAGTAGTGGGGGCATGCATATACTGGCAAACCTTGCTGACTGCAAATGCCATATCAAGACGAGTAAAAGACAGATACTGTAGAGCCCCAACTGTTTGTTTGTAAAGCTGAGCATCGACAAAGGGATCACCAATAACACAGAGTAGAACCTAAAGGGAGAGGTGTCTTGGCTGGTTTAGCCTCGAGCATACCCACTTTAGTAAGCAACTCATAAACATATTTATGTTGAGACAGAAACATGCCGTTGTGTAGCCGAGTGACCTCAATTCCCATAATGTAATGAAGTGGACCAAGGTCTTTCAAAGCAAACTTGGAGCTCAGAAGAGTTATAGTGAAAGAAATCAATTGGGGGAATGATCCTGTGATGATAATGTCATCAACATATACCAAGATAAACAAAGAGCCAGCAATGCAATGCTTATAAAAGAGTGAGTGATGCAATGCTTATAAAAGAGTGAGTGATTAGCTTGTGAAAGTTTGAAGTCAAGACCAATTAAGAAATTAGAAAGCTTATTGTACCATGCACGAGGAGCTTGGCATAGGCCATATAAGGAGTGTTTCAAGGAGCATACATGATTTGGAAGTTGGGGATCCTTGAAGCCCGGTGGTTGATACATATATATAGTTTCTATGAGATCCCCATGCAGAAATGCATTTTGCACATCAACTTGATGAGCATGCCAACCCTTAGAAATAGCAAGAGAGAGTAGAAGTTGAACAGTTGTTGGCTTAATCACTGGACTGAATGTATCATGAAAGTCCACCCCTGACTGTTGAGAGAAACCACGTGCAACAAGACGAGCCTTGTAACGAGACACATGCCCATCAGAACCCTGTTTAATACGAAACACCCATTTGCAGGTGATAATGTTATGGCCCTTGGGTTTAGGTACAAGCTCCCAGGTTCGATTGCGTTGGAGGGCATCGAATTCATCTTGCATGGCAGAGCGCCAATGAGGAATAGAGAGGGCTTGGGTTATTGAGGAAGGTTCAGATTCAGGTGAGAGAGGAAGGTACTTAGTTGCAATGAAAGTCTTGGGTTTGAAAACACCACTCTTAGCTCGAGTGGTCATGGGGTGTGTATTGGAGGGTGGTGGAGGTTGTTGAATGATAGAGGTGTTAGGTGGTGCTGATATAGTTAATGAAGGTAAGTGAGGTGGAGAAGATGATGGAGCATGGTCAACAGTAGGAGATGAAGGAAGGGAAGGGGGAGGAGAGGTTTCATTATTGGTCGAAGTGGGAGAGCTATCGGAGATAGCTGATGGTGTGTTAATGGTGAAACCGGGATTGGGGTGTGTTTCATTAAACAATACATGGCGAGATATGTACCATTGTCCAGTTGCAAGATGAAGACATCTATAGCCATGGTGTTCTAGGCTGTAGCCCATGAAAATGTAGGGGGTGGATCTGAAATCCATCTTATGTTGATTGTAAGGTCTCAAGTAGGGAAAACATTCATAGCCAAAAGCCTTGAGAAAGGAATAATTTGGTTTGGTGTGAAAAAGTATCTCCATGGTGAGACATATCCAATGACTTTACTAGGCATTCTATTGTATAAATAAGCAGCAGTATAGAATGATTCCCACTAGAAACGCATGGGTACAGATGCCTGGGCTAGCAGAGTTAAACCAGTCTCAGTTATATGCCTATGTCTTCTTTCGACACAACCATTTTGTTCAGAGGTGTGAGGGCAACTTAGCCGATGTGATATACCACACTGCTCAAGCATGGGATGAAAAAAGAGAACTCCTTCCTGCCATCAGTTTGTAGGGCCTTAATAGAACAACCAAGTATATTTTCAACATTGGTCTTGAACTTGATAAAAGCATTTAGAGCTTCAGACTTTAGTTTGAGAGGAAAAATCCACAAGTACTTACTAAAAGCATCAACAAAACTTATATAATATTTAAAACCACCATGAGAAGCAATGGAGGCAGGTCCCCAAATGTCTGCAAATATCAACTGTAATGGTGCAGTAACAATAGGTGAACTAGTTGAAAAGGGTAACTTGTGACTCTTACCCATGGGACAGGAAAAACAAAAGCTTAGTGATTTACCAGAGTTAACTGACAATTTATTCTTGAATACTACTTGTCTAACAATGTTGGTGCTGGATGTCCAAAATGCCGATGCCAAAGATCCATTGAAGTTCTTTCTCCTACGAGAGCAAGGTTTTTTGTACTTTGGGATTTTTTATCATTCGGCAGTTTATAGAGACCATTGCTAATCGACCTTTCCAGTAGGATCTTCTTCGTTTGTCGATCCTTCACAACAAAGAATGAGAGGTCGTGAAGAAGATTGTATACAAGAAGAACCAACATTCTTACTTTTCAAATGCTCAATTTGTAATTCGAATTTGATCTGTCCCACTGTAAGAGGAGTGAAGTTTCAAGTTACTGAGCTCTGAAGTTAGATGGTTTGTGGCTTCGGAATCTGGATACCAACTCCCATCATTATCTATGGAAGCAAAATTGATTGAGTTTGATGTTGAGTTTGCTGCCCGATCTAAATCACCATCTTTGTGATACCTAAAATAACAGTTCTTTGTAGTATGGTTTTTCTTTTTACAGATTTGACAAGGTCCAAGATTAGTACTCATCTTTTTATTTTCACCAGTGGTCTGCTGGTTTTTCTGGGTCGATTATCTTGACCTTTGTTCTTGTTATGATTGAATCTAGACCCTCTTTGCTGATGTCCACATTGAGCAACATGGACACTTGGTATAGTATGATATGTGCTTGCCCTTAGAGCTTCCAGTCTGAGTTCATGGTTGTAAAGCATGTTTTGAATATCATCAAAAGTAAGTGAATCAGTTAAAGTACTCACAAATGTCATGAAGGCTTCATAATCTGATCCGATCGGTTAAGGTTTTAATCACCAAGTCTTGATTAGTGATGGGTTGTCCAGCCATGGAAAGGCTACCCGAAATATTCTTGGCCTTTTGTAGATATTCAGTCATTGGCATGGTGCCTTTTCTCAGGTGCATCAGTTATGCATGAAGTTGCATGACTCTAACTCTGGACTAGGAGGCAAATAATCTTTCCAGAGTGCTCTAAACAGCTCTGGTTGTGGTGTAGCCGATGACTTGGCCGAGGACACTCTCAGTGAGTGTGGACAGCATCCAACTGAGAAGTAGTTGGTCTTGTTTCTGCCACTAGGTGTATTCTAGGTTGGAGATCCTTTGCCCATCTTCTTCAATGATTTGAGGTGGACATGGTAAGGATCCATAAGCAAATTCGATCAAATCCGAACCATCTAACACCGGAAGGACTTTTGATCTCCAAAGCATGTAGTTATGTCGATCTAGCTTCATAGTGACGAGCTGACCAAGGTTTGTGGTGAACATGCTTCCGACCTGGAGTTGTTTGGTTTGGGTTTGAAGGGTTGAAGCAGAGGAGGTTGAAGTAGAGCTAGTATTAATGGCCATGATAACCAAGCTCTGTTACCATAAAAGATAATATAAGAGAAAAGATGATGGACGACTTTATTAAAGTGATTGAGTTACATATATAGGTACAAGTGATTGAGTTC